TCTGCCCCACCCGAGGACATGCCCTTATTCTATCATCCCAGACTGCAGCCACTACACCTACAACAATCTAGAGAAGACTTGCTAGTGCACAACGTACACAAATCAAACTAGAAGGAAACAAGTGGTAACTAGTATCCTAGTTGAAAGGTTTAACTATTGCGAAGTAAAGTAACAGTAATTTAGCTAACACCAAAAGGGAAACGGTAAAATAGGAGGTGCCAACTCCCGATAACAAAACCTGTGGCTGATTTGCTGTACTCGATATAGTTGTACGCTCACGCACCACTTCCTACCGCCCTTTGCTGACACTCGCCCAGGTTGCTCTTCTTTGCCAGTGCTCGTGCGCCCAACCTGTCTCCAATACTCCGAGAATTCCTGAAAACACAGAAAATACCACGACCCAAAAACCAGAAGGAGCTATTACTGCTACCACTGGTATAGCCCCAACAATGTAAAATGTACCAAGAAAGGAGAAGAAGAAAACGAGAATATAAGGGAATCCTCCTGTTTTATTTATTTTTGGCTAAGAGCAGGAAGGGAATCCTCAAATTTAGAAAGCAGAGCAGCTACCAAAACCCGAACGAATCTGAACTGAAATCTACCTTAGAAAATGAAGAAACGGTAAATAAAAATGGAATACACTTACATTATACTAGGATGAACAAATTAGGGATTTCTAGCTTCTCTACTTCTCAGTGTTCTTGCTGAAATAAAATGGAATTCACTTACCTTATACTGCGGATTGAGAGAAACAAACAGAAATCAAACGAAGCGTTTGCAATGGAGTAACCCAAATGGTGCTGAAAATTCTCAAAGATTTTTCAATCAAAAGCAGCAGGTACAGGGACCACCTAGCTTTCAAAATCAAAACATAGGGCAACAAGACTTCCAGAAATATCAACAACCACCCCAAAGAGCTCATCAGCAAAGCCTTGAAGACATGATGTATAAAATTAATTAAGGCTACTGATGAGAAGGTTGAAAGTCAAAGTTCAGCCATTAAGAATTTAGAAATTCGGATGAGCCAATTAGCAACCTTCATGTCTGAACAAATAAAAGGTGCTCCACCAAGCAACACCGAAAAAAATCCAAAGGAACACCTCAAAGCCATCTCTCTGCAGTCATATAAAACTCTTGATGATCCATATGTAGATAGACAAGTAAAACCACAAGAAGTGGAACATGTAAATGAAGGTTAGAATAAAAGAGACTCTGAACTTCTAAAAGAACAAAAAAAAAGGAAAAAAGGTACAAGAAAATGAATTGAAGACAAATCCTCACTCTATAGCCCTCCCATTTCCCCAAAAATGAAAAGAGAAAATCTTGACAAACAATTTTCAAAGTTTCTAGATTGTCATGACCCTAAACCCGGGACCGGTCGTGATGGCGCCTCTCGTGAAGACAAGGCCAACCGACACTTTTCACATTCTAGTTTTAAGCAATTAAACAATAAGAATTAAGTCTAAAACGTGATAAATAATCCCAAAGTAAGCAGTGAACATTACAATTGCAGAATAAAACCCAACACAACCTGATACCGGGGTGTCACTAGTCATGAGAATCTACAATCGGGATGATACAAGAAAGGTCTACACAGTCTAATACAAATCTAAAACAGAGGAAGATAAGATAAAGGAAGAAGCTCTGGGCTGCGAACGCAGGCAGCTACCTAGAGAATCTTCGAATCCGCCTGAGCTGGAAATATCAACACTCGCTAGC